TAACTGTAGAAACTGAAAATTATTTGTTGAATACTTGAGTAAATGAATAAATAATATGAAATTAGAATGTTATCCGGAAAGCTGAGCATTTCAGCATTCTACTTGGCTCACTGGATTCTTTCAGCCCCCAACTCTTTTCTGTTCTCTTTCAGTATCCTCAAGGGAATAATTAAGGGTCTAAATCTTCAATCTATATTACTTATAGTATATTGGGGTTATTAAAATAGTTTCATATCCAGATGGAAATCAGAGCTTAAAATGATTATTGGTTTCTGGCTTCCCTAATTCCCAACTTCTCTTATTCAGAAACACTTGCATCAGGTTGTCATAAATTTTATTTTTTAAATTTTTTTTTAGGAGGGGAGGGGAAAGGGGGATAGGAAGGGCAGAATAGAATAGATATTATGATTGCTGTATGTATATAGGTGACTCTATGACCAGTGTGATTCTGCAATCTGTACAATCAGAAAAATGAGAAATTATACCTCAATTGATTCAAATGTATGAATTGCCAAGATCATTGTAATGTCATGTGTAGCTAATAAAAWAAAATTTTTAGTTGTCAATGGACCTTTATTTTATTTATTTATATGTGTGCAGAATTGAACCCAGTGCCTCACACATGCTAGGCAAGTGCTCTACCCTAGCTCTGTCACCAGTTTTTAGTAGATTCAAATGGGTGGAGGGCTAAGATCCCCAAAAAGATTTGAATAAGGGAGGTTAACTACTGAAAAAATTAATTTTAAAAATTCATAGGCAATGGTTCTCAAGTAATCCAGAGACTAGAAGCATATAATTATAATGCACCAATGAAAAACGGAAAGAATTTAAAAAGGGATACCATATTAAAATTAAAAATTAAATTATGCTAGACTAATAATAGTACAATAGCATGAACAGGAATAGGTTCTGAAAAAGTTATTCCTCAATACTACCACTCCATCAATTGCTTTTTCCTTTATGTTTCCTCACAGACCTTTCCACAGGAAGATCCTACTTTTATCTAATACATTCTTGGCAGAGTTATGTGATCGAAGCACATGAAACTTTCAGTATATGAGCATTTTTCAATAAAAGTGAGGATTTGATATGTTTTTTTTTTTAAAAAAACATCATCTGAGATCTTGCTAGAAGTGCAAATCTTAGGCCTCACCCAGATCTACTGAATGAGAATCTCTGGCACTCAGCTATCTGTGTTTTAACACTCTTCACATGAGTGTGATGCAGGCCATTGAACTAGAGGAAAACAAAATAAAAGTAAGTAAGAAAAGGCAACAAGAGTATTGGCCCTTTAGTACTATTTATACATTTAAAAAGATACAAACATAACAATTGCCATTGTCAGTATTGAAGTGATAAGTGAATCTTATCACTGTACATCAATTCTGCCTCCAGGTAACATAATGAAAAGTAGTTAAAACTTCCCTGCTTTGAAACAGAATTCTTGACTGCATCAGAGTTCCTATGAGTCTGCCTTGAAAAGGAARTGTGGTGGTGGTGATGTTTCCAGATCTCCTTTAATCTTAGAAAAAACATCATAGGCAGAGGGGTAAAAGCAGGATGTCTACTAAAAATTACACTAGTTTTAATAATTGGTTATTAAATATAAAAAGCCTTAAAACCAGGAACAAGAAAAATATGTTGCTAACACTACATCTACTCAACATTGCATGAAGTTCCTATCCAATATCCTCCTTTAAAAAGAAAAAAAAAAGAGCTGCTATTTTCACTGGGGACATCACTGGATACACAGACAATCTAAAAGAATTTACAAATTATTAGAATTAAAAAATAACTTACCAAATTTGCTAAATGAAAGCTAAATATACAAAAATTAATTATATTTTATATTTAAGCCACAATTAGAAAAATAAATAAAAAAGCATTTGTAATAATGGAATTAAAATAAAATACAAAGAATAATTCTAAGATGTACAATACCTCTACAAAGAAACTAAAAATATTGCTGAGACAATATAAAGAACGAACAAAAATGTGGGATAACAGAAGGCAAAATTCAACATTTTCTCAGTTGATTCATATATCCAATAATATTGCAATCAACATCTAAGCATGTTTATATGTGAATTGATAAATTCATTATAAAAGTAATAAAAAATCTAGACTAGTGATAATGATATTGAAAAACACTGCAAAAACAAAACTGGAGAAACAAATCATATGACTATTTCAACTGATGCCATAAAAGCATTCAACAAAATCCCATTTCCATTCATGGCAATAACAGTGAAAAAACTAGGGATAGTAGGAACTTACCTCAACATCATAAAGGCTATATGCAATAAACTCAAGCTAACATCATATTGAACAGAGAAAAGCTAAAATAATTTCCTGTAAAATTTGGAAGAAGTCAAGAATGTTCACGCTCACCAGTCCTATTCAAAATAGCTCTTAAAACTCTAACCAGACCAATCAGACAAGAGAAGAAAATTAAAGTGATACAAATAGGAGAAGAATGCAAATTATCTCTGTTAGCTTATGACATGATTCTATACTTAGAAAACACACACACACACACACACACACATACACACACACACACACACACGGGGGGGGGGGGAAACCTCTAACAGAAACTCCAAGAATTGATCAATAAATCTATGAATAAAGTGTCAGGATACAATGCTCAAAACACAAAAGCCAATAATTCTCCTGTACTCCAATAATGAATCTCTGAAAAAGAAATCAGGAAAATAATTATACTCAGAGTAGCCTCATGAATACCTGTGAATAAATGTAACCATTGAAGTAAAAAACCTCTGCAACAAAAATTATAGAACACTGAAGAAAAAGTTAAGGGAAACCTTAGAAGATGGAAAGATCTCCCTGGAGATCTTGGGTAGGCAGAATTAATATTGTCAAAATGGCCATATTACCAAATATGATCCACAGATTTAATGCATCCCCATCAAAATACCAATTTAATTCTTCACAGGACTAGAACAAACAGTTCTAAAATTCATTTGGAAGAACAACTGACCCAGAATAGCCAAAGCCATCCTGAATAATTACAGCAATGTGGGACACATCACACTGTAGAGATATAGTAACAAAAACAGCAGTATTGGCATAAAAACAGTCATCAAGACCAACTGAAAAGAATAATAGACATGGAGACAAATCCACATGGATAGTCATATGATCCTTGACAATGGTTCCAAAATCATACATTGGAGAAAGGATACCCTTTTTAATAGTGCTAGGAAAACTGGATATCCACGTGGAGAAGAATGAAACTAGATTCCTATCTTTCACCCTGCACTAAAGTCAAATCAAAGTGGATCAAGGAATTAGACCAGAAACTTTGCAACTGCTAGAGGACATATTCTCAACACTCCAACATATTGGCCCAGTCACTGACTTCCTTCACAAGATCCCTAAAGTTCAAGAAATAAAACTAGGAATCAGTAAGTGGTATGGCATCAATCAAAAACATTCTGCCCAGCAAAGGAAAAAAGAATGAAGAGAGTCCACAGAAGGAGGAAGATGTTTGACAGCTGCTTCTCTGACAGGGGATTAATAGGCAGAATATATATATAGAACTCAAAACTTAACATGAAAACTAAACAAAACAAACAACAGAAAACCCCCAAATCCTAATTATAAATGGACAAAAGAACTAAACAGAAAACTGCTTGAAAGAAAAAACATAAATGGCCATATGTGAATATATGAAAAATGTTCGGCATCCCTAGCAATCAGCAAAATACAAATCAAAACTGTACTGAGATTTCATCTCATTCCAGTTAGAATGGCAATAATCCAGAAAACAAATAACAATAATTGCTGGCAAGGATTTGGGAAACGTTTGAGGTATACTCATGCATTGTTTGTGGGGCTACAATTTAGACAAGAAATGGAACCACACGTGACTCAGATTTAGTACTTCTTGGTATTTATTCAAATGAACTAAAATCAGCATATATAGTGATAGAGGCTCATCAAAGTTTATATCAGTGCAACTCACAATAGGAATTAGAAAACCAGCCCAGATGCCTGTCAGAAGAATGGGTATAAAAAATGTGCTATATATATATATATATATATATATATATATATATATATATATATATACACACACACATACATACACACACACACACACAGTGGAGTTTTAAACAGTCATAAAGAAGAATGAAATTTTGTCACTTGCTGGTAAGTGGATGGAACTGGAGAACATCATGCTAAATGAAATAAGCCAAAAAGTCAAGTTTTGAATGTTTTCTCTCATATACAAAAGTTGAGAGAAAAAAGGAATGTCATGAAAATAGAAGAGAGACCAATAAAGTAGAGGAAGGGAATGGACATGGAGGGAGAAGGGAAGGGCAAGGGGGATGTGTTGAGAACAAAATAGACCAAATTACCTATTCTTTATCCTTGACAGGTACAGATCAAGTAATCAGAAAACACACACACACACACACACACACACACACATACAGTGTATGTATATATTCCCAAGAATCTTTATCCTCATATTTTAAAATATATTTTTAATGGATGTTCACTTTACTTGATGTTTTATTCAATACCATATTGTATTATTTTTGTAATTAGATATACATGTTAAAAATGGTAGTTCTGAGGAATGGTATCATTTGCTTCTGCACCTATTATGTATATTTCTTATTAAATCAACTCTAGACAAAAACTACAATGTTACTGTACATTATCCATTTTATTTGACACTTATTAAGCATTATTAATATATCTACATACTAACTTTCCATTAAAATATCTTTAAAATTATTACATTCATAAGTCTGACCTTAATTCTATTTGGGGCCAAGAATATTTTTGAAGACATTTATTTTAATTTGATATTTAGAATCAAATTTGCTGATGGTTCCATTTTAGAAACTGAATTATAACTACTAAAACCATGAATTAAAAATTTTAAACTACAACAATTGTCAAAATAAAGCAACAGATTACTGAAGTGAATTAACACAAACTTGAAAAATACCACTCTTGGTTACCTGAAGTGGGAGACTTGCAACGCTCAAGTTCCAGTGGAACTGGACTATCATTCAACTCAGTTAAACCTGAAAATACAAGGAAAAGAGAGAGAGATATATATATAAATTTTGATAGTACTGTATAGGTAATCCTTATTCCTTAGTAAAGTCTAAAAAGGTCCCCTTTCCTGTGAAAAACCACATTACCATGTCTTTTATATAAAGTATTGTGAAAATTTATTTAAAGAAGTGATACAAGAAAAACAGGAGCTATAGCTGATCAACAAAGGAAAATTAAAAATGGATGGTGGAAAGATGCAAATTTTCTTTATTATTTTTATACTTTAATAAATGATCCAATTTCATCAGAGAAAAAAAATGAGAAACAGGGTTTTAAAAGTCATAATAAGATCCTTTATTTCAGGAGAACAGGTTATTGGCCTTTAAAAAATATTTAAAGAGATGCTACAGATTTAAAGTTTTGTATTTATTTATAAAAATGTTGTGCTATATATATTACATACTGATTTCTTCAATTACATCAATGTCATTTTTATAACAAGCACTACATTCATATTTCCAGTATTTCTTACTTTCTATTTTATGACTTTTCTGAAAAATACAAGGATGAGTACAAAAGTTTAATAAATGTTTTTAAATTCTATAAATACACATTCCTATGGCATTTAAAATATCCTTCATCATAGTTTTCTTATTCTTTTTGGAAAGTCTAATATTCTTTTTCTTTGTAAATAAGTACACAGAGTTTCTGATTGAATAGAAGTCCCTTTAATCAGAAACATTTGAACATTTGAGAGCTACTGCGAATAACTAAAATTGTCTTTGTTCATATTCCTTCCTATATACTCCTTATTCAATTTATACCGATACATTTGCTGTAGTTGCAAAAACAAATAGAATTTGGAGATGAAAAGGTCTCTTGTGATAATGTAACTTAACCCTCATGTTTTATATCTATCTGTCATCTGTTTTATCTTAACACACATACACACACATATGTATTTTTTTTCAAAATTGAGTCTTTCAACCCATAAATATGGTATTATCTCCCATATGAATGATTTTGAAAATATTTTCTTCTGCAATATTTTGTAGATTTCAGTATGGCAGTCTTATACATGGGATTTTTAAATTCTTCTATTATCATGTCCCAAATTCTTGTTTTTACCAAGTTTCAGTAGACTTTTTTGAATATGTTTCTTCATTTGCTGTATAAACTAAAATATTTCCAGAAACTACATGATTGTTTTTAATATAGTTTTCATCAGTTATGCTTTCTTTTTCTTCTTATTCTCTGGGGGAATGGGACCATATCATTTAGAAGACTATCCTCTATGTATTATCTTGGTTTTCTTTTGTCATGCTGGGATTGAATCCAGGCTCTCACAAATTGTAGGCAAGCATGAGATCACTGAGCTATCTCAAGCGGTTTTTTAAATTTCATTTTAAGTCAAGGTCCCACTAAGTTTCCAGACTGGCCTTGCAAATGTGATCCTCCCATCTCAATATCATGAATAGCTGGGATTATARTTTATTTCCTAATTGTTTACTATCATTTTATAGAAATAAGACTGATTTTTACATACTGACATGTTTTCTTCAATCTTACTGAATTCACTTTTTATTTTGCAGCTTTCTTATAGATTCCTTTAGTTTTTCTATATATACCATAATAGCACTTATTTTTAGGTATATTATTTTTTTTACCTTGCTTTTGCCCTTACTAGGTTATGAAGTAAAAAGCTGAATAATGATGAGAGTTGATATCCTTCCTTTATTTATGATTTTAGGGGGGGAAATATTTAATATGTTACAACAAAGTATGATGCTATTTATTTTTTCATGAATAGGATTTATTCAATTGAGGAATGTCCTTCTTGTTCCTAGTTTGTGGAAGATTTTTTGTCATAAATAAGTGTTAAATTTTGTCCAATTTTTTTACATTGAGATGATCATATTTTTTCCTTTAAATTCTATTTATCAATCATTTTACATTGATTGATTTTTAAATGTTAAATTAGCATTCCTGGGATAAATCTAGCTTGTTTATAATGTTTATATTTCTTATATTTATGTGCCATATTCCATTTACTAGTTATTTTATGTATAATTATATATCTATGTTCATGAATGGGTCTGGTCTGTAGTTTTCTTACACTTTGCTGTATCAATTTTAGTCATCAACATTTTGATGGCTTTTTTCTGGTCCCTAAAAGGCTTCACATTAAATGTCTCATAGGGTTAATCTATGGAACCATTTGAGGCTTAAAGTTTTCTTGAGGGAAGTATTTAATTTTGAATTTAAAAAATTTAAAAGACTGTTATTTATATTTTCCAAGGTGTTTTATGTCAGCTTTGGTAGGTTTTGTCTTTCAAAGAATCTCTTAAAATTCATCTAAATGTCAGTTTCTAGGCACACAGTTGTTCATAACATTACTTTGTAAATTTTAGTGTTTGTATAATCCATAGTGATGTTCCCTTTTTCATTTCATTTGATCATACATTATTTTTTTTTCTGGAGTCAGTCTCAGGGTTTTTAGACTTTATTAGTGCTTTTGAAGTATCATATTGTTTTGTTGATATATAGTATTATTTGTCTTCTACTTCATTGATTTCTGACCTTTATAATTTCCTTTCATTTATGTTTTGTTTCTTTGCTCTTTTTTTTCTTAGCAACTTAAGAAGGAAGTTTAGATTATGGGTTTCCAAAATAACCATCCATGGTTTTCATTTTTATTCAAAGACTGCTTTAGCAGCACTATACACACACACACACACACACACACACACACACACGTGTTTTGTTCATACTTTCACTCAGGTCAAAAATACATTAAAATGTCTTTGGTCATTTCTTTTTTAAGCCATAAGTTATTTTAAAAAAATTATCTCAGAATAGAAGACAGAAAGACAAACCCACAAAGATACAATTATCCGATCCTGGAGAAAGATGCCAAAACCATATATTGTAGAAAAGACAACCTTCTCAACAAATGGAGGAAACAGGTAATCCCTATGCAGAAGAATGAGACTAGACCCTTATCTCTCACCCTGTACAGAGTCAACTCAAAGTGAATCAAAGACCTAAGAATTAGACAAGAAACTATGGAACTCCTAGAAGAAAATGTAGGGGCAACATTCTAGTATATAGACACAGGCAATGACTTTCTCAATAGGACACCTAAAGCTCAAGAAATAATGCCAGCAGTTAATTAAATGAGATGGCATAAAATTATAAAGCTTCTATACAGCATGGGAAACCATTAAGAATGTGAAAAGAGAACCTAGAGAATGGGAGAAAATCTTTGCTAGATATCATTCTGACAGAGAATTAATATCCATAATATATAAAGAACTCAAAACACACACATGCACACAAACGTACATGCACACACACAAAAAGATGGGCAAATGAACCAAATACATCTCAAAAGAAGAAATATAAATGGCCAACAATTACATGAACAAATGTTCAACAATGGTATGGTTTATATGGGAGATATGCTCCCAAAACTCATGTGTAAGACAATGTAAGAAAATTTAGAGGGGAAATAAATGATTTTATTATGAGCACCTAAACCTAATGAGTGCATTAGTCCTATGATAGGGATTAATTGGGTTGTACCTCTAGGCGGGGAGGGGTGGGTGGAAAATGTAGATCACTGGGGGCATGCCTTGCGGTATATATTTTATTTTTGATGAGTGGAGCTTGCTCTCTGATTCTTAGTGTCATGTCCCCTTGGCTTTTCTCTGCCACTATGTTCTGACTCACCTCCAGCCCTGAGGGGTGGAGTTGGCCATCTATGAACTAAGCCTCTAAAACTGTGGGCCCTCAAATAAACTTTTCCTCTTCTGTTTGTTCTTATTTAGATTTTTGTTCACAGCAGTGAAAAGGCTGACTAAAACAAATATTGTTATCAAATAGGGAAATATAAATCAAAACTATACTGAGATTTCATCTGATTCACTTTAGAATGGCAGCTATTAATGATACAAACAATGATGAATGCTGGAGAGGATGTGGAGAAAAAAGGAACACTTTTACACTGTTGGTGGAATTGTAAATTAGTCAACCATTATCAAAATCAGTATGGAATTTCCCCAAAAAACTAGGAATGGAATTACCATATTACCCAGCTATACCACTGTTAATACCACTCCTCGGCATTGATCCTAAATAATTAAAGTCATCATTCTATAGCGATATATGCATACCCATGTTCACAGCAGCACAATTCACAACAGAAAAACTATGGAATCCACCTAGGATGAATGGCTAAATAAAGTGTGGTATGCATACACAATGGCATTTTATTCAGCCATAAGAATGAAACCATGTCATTTTCAGGAAAATGAATGGAACATGAGGACATTACGTTAAGCAAAATAAGTCAAAATCAAAAAGTCAAGGATCATATGATTTCTCTCATATGTGAAAGTTAGAGATGAAAAAGACAAAGAAAGTTAGGGGTTATCTCATGAAAATCAAAGAGAAATCAATGCAGATAGACCAAAGGGACTAGTTGAAGGGAATAGGGGAGGGAAAGGGGAAATACTGTGAAAATGATACTGGTTAAATTATATTGTTATATTCTGTACATGTACATTGTTACAAATATGTAACAATGTATTCCATTGTTATGCACAACTGTAATGCACTAATATGAACAAAAATAATAAAAACGTGTTCAGAATTTCCAATAAGGATCAATATCTAATTCAATTTCTTTTGTAGTCAGATAGCAAATTTTGCTTCATTTCAATTATCTGTAATTCACTATATCTTATTGTATGGTTCAGTGTATCATTATAAAAAGCTATATATCTACTTGAAAAGATATAATTAATAATATTAATCAAATACATTAATATTAATTAAAGATCCTACTATTTATTAAATATTAGTAATATTAAAGATATAATTAAAATATAATTTTAAAATATTTTAAATTTAATAGCACAGGTATCTATTTATGCGTGATAGGTTAACTTGGTCAAGAGAGTTCCTTATGTTGCTTATATCCTGAAGAATTTTCATTTACTTATACTATCAGTTACTAAGGGGA